ACCGGACAATGATCCCAAGCACACCAGCAAATATACAACAGAATGGCTGAAAAAGAAAAGAATCAAGGTGCTGTAATGGCCCAGTAAAAGTCCAGACGTCAACCCAAATGAAATGCTGTGGGAGGACGTGAAGGGAGGTGTGCAAAAACAAATGCCAGCAAACCTCAATAAACTGAAGAAACATTGTAAAGGAGAGTGAACCAAAACTTCTGTACAGCGATTTGAGACTGAGAAATCATACAGAAAACGATGACTTCAATTTATTACTGCTAAAGGTGGTTCAACAAGCTAAATCATAACTTTGACACTGTGTGATATTTCTTGTGGTGGTGTTCATCTGAGGTTGTATTTACCTAATTTTAAGACCTACTAAGCAACAGATGATTATGTCCTGATGTGTGAAACCATAAAATTAAAAGAGGGTGTAGTTTCTTTTTTCCATGGCTGAACATACACCACACACACACATCTCCCCCCTGGTATTATTACTCACATACATGAGTACTGACCTTGATATTGTGTATCTCAGAGAAAATATGTATTTTTAATGATTTAAACTGAAAGGAATGTAGACTGGTTCCCAAATAATGACCATGGTCTCTTTCTTTCCAGTGCCATCTTGTCATCGTATTTCTTGAGTGAAAGGTTAAACCTTCATGGGAAGATTGGATGTCTCCTGAGTATATTGGGGTCAACTGTGATGGTCATCCATGCCCCTAAGGAAGAAGAGATTGAAAACTTGAATGCAATGTCAATTAAATTAGCAGATCCAGGTACATCCCCTTCAGCTTGTCTTAGGCATTATAACAGCAAAAAAAAAAACACATCAAATAACATATCAAGTATAACTGCAAAAAAACCCACAAGTTCTCTATTTATATGATTTCATTTTGATTGGAAATATACACCTAGAAATAGAGAACTTGATCTGTGTTTTTTGTAGTTATAATCCCTTTTGATTTCCTGGTAAGAAAAGCCTGTAGCAATATACATCTATTGTAGCAAAGCCACTGTCATCTCCAGTCTCCCTTTTAGCAGCCCTACTTCTTCCTTTGGAAGGACTAAAAGCCCACGAAAACTTGTCTGCCTGACCCCTGGAACCACATGTCCAAGGAGTCAGGCAATAGGAATTCCACATTCCTGCAAAAGAATGTTTGGTATTAATCGGAAATTACAAAATAAGAACATTTTAAAATGAGAAAACTACCCCCTTCCTGTATTTACTGCAAAATGGAGATTACTGAATGAAAAATACCTGCAGCACTGAGCTCCAAAGAAAGACCCTGGTTTAGCTTCTAAAATGTAAATAAATAAATAGCAGAAGCAATGTAAAGTGAATACAATACCATACAGTGATTATCCAGAAACATTTCACTATAAAAATACAGACCAATGATAAGAGTGGTACTTTTAGCTGCAGATGTAGCTCTGTTGGAGTTTATGAAATGTACAGTTCAACGCACAGTGAAATAATCTGCTGATGTATGTCAACTTTGGAGCTGGTGCCATAAAGTCTAGGACTTTACATGGCCTTATTGTCAATACTTTTCAGGGTTGTAAATGTTCTTAAACACTTATGTTTGTTTAAAAAAAAAAAAAAAAAATCTGTCTACACAATATCAGTTGTGCAATTGCTTTGCCATCAGTGCGATTGCACACATTGGCTAATTGCCACTTACTATTGGTAAGGATAAGGCTTTGTGGAATTATTGTATATATGGGCTTAATTGTAACATCACAATAAGCAAAAAGGTCAACCAATAAACTGTGCTGTGCCAGTCCATTCATTATTTTCTGTCACTTGTCAAGTTACTATATTCTGTAGCTTTGATGTATCCAGGACATAAATTGGGTGGTACAATTAATGTGTGATGTATCATGCAAAAGTGAGTGGTTACTGCTGAAGGGTTACATGTTAATACTTTTTATTGTCAGTGAAATGTGTGACAAAATTGTATCTCTATCTCCCCTTTATGTTCATTTCAACTTAAAGGACCACTATAGGCACCCAGACCACTTCAGCTTAATGAAGTGGTCTGGGTGCCAGGTCCATCTAGGATTAACCCTGCCTGCTGTAAACATAGCAGTTTCAGAGAAACTGCTATGTTTAACTATGGATTAATCCCGCCTCTAGTGGCTGTCTCATTGACGGCCGCTAGAGGCGCTTCTGCGTTTTTCACAGTGAGAAGACGCCAGCGACCATAGGAAAGCATTGAAAATGCTTTCCTATGCACTGGCTCAATGGGCGCGTGGCTCTTGCCGCGCATTCAGCCGATGACGGCGAAAAGGAGGAGGAGAGTGGCCTGCGCCGAGGGAGCCCATGGGGTGAAAAAGGTAAGGGATTAACCCCTTCTACTCCCTAGAGCCCGGCAAGAGGGGGACCCAGAGGGTGGGGGGGGACCTAGAGACCCTATAGTGCCAGGAAAAAGAGTAGGTTTTCCTGGCACTATAGTGGTCCTTTAAATACAGCAAGTACAGTGAAAAAAATCATGATATGCTTCACTGCTTAGGTTTATGCTGTTCTGTGTATTATTTCACAGAGAAAATGTGAATAATTGTCCCAATTGAATTCCTATGATGACTAGGTTCAACATTACACCCATGCAGAACCATCAAAACCCTACCAATGGAAGAGCTTTAGACCTAGATCCCGTGTCATTAGAATGGATAAACACCGGGACAACATGATTTTTCTTACAAGATATATCACGCTCTGATTTTATTAATGTCTTAAACATTTTGTTGTTGGTGTTTATTTACAAAAGAAAAGTATGTTTTGTGATCTTGAAAATTAAATGTTTTTTTCTTACTCTTTACAGGTTTTTTAATTTTTGCCACTGCGGTGGTCATGGTGTCTTTGATCCTGATCTTTGTTGTGGGTCCTCGTCATGGGCAATCTAATATTTTGGTTTACATCGCAATTTGTTCTGTCATTGGAGCCCTTTCTGTCTCATGTGTTAAAGGATTGGGTATTGCTATTAAAGGATTCTTTCATGGAGAGCCGATTCTGAGGCATCCTATTTTCTGGATTCTACTTTTCAGCCTTATAGTTTGCGTTAGCACTCAGATAAACTATTTAAACAGAGCTCTGGACATATTTAACACTTCATTAGTGACTCCAATTTACTATGTGTTCTTTACCACCTCTGTGCTCACATGCTCTGCAATCCTCTTCAAGGAATGGCAACATATGTCCACTAATGACATGATTGGCTCGTTCAGTGGATTCCTAACCATTATTATCGGGATCTTCTTATTGCACGCTTTTAAAGATATTACCTTCTCACTATCTAACTTGCCTGTTTCTCTGCGAAAGGATGACAGATTATTAAATGGAAGCCTGTCAAGCACTGTTTATGAGCACCTTAATGGTGATGAAGAAAGCCAAACTCGTGATAATGAACTACAAAAAAATGAAAGCCTTTCATCTCGTAGAAATGGAAGCCTGGCAGCATTTTGAATAGCACAATCTTCTTTGCCAGAAAAATAAAACTTTTGTGATGACTCACTTTATAAACATGAAATCTTTGTAATTGGGTTTTTGATACTTTATCTTCATGGCTTCAAGTTGCATCAGTACCAACAAGGAGAACGCTTACATGCTTCTCTCAACCAGACTGCTCCACATCTTCTACACCTGAACGCCTCAATGCTTCTAAACACTTGAAAGGTGCAGAGACTGAATGTCTGTAAAATAAGTATCTCACATTGCAGCAAAAATGTAATCCCACATTCTTAAATGAAATTTTTTTTAAAAAAAATCACCTCTGCCCAGGAGATAATTAAATGGGATGTTCTAAAGAACATGCTGAAACCGTAAGGTGCCTGCAAAAGGATATTAGATGATGTACCTTTATCTGCTTCTAACTAAATTATGTGTACTTTTTCATTGGTACTGATATATATTTTTGCATACTTTTCTTATATTTGGGATTATGTGTCTTTACAACACTGATAAAAATCATTGCTGAATTAGAGAGATTGGGAACTGTGTTAAAGAAGTTCTGGAAGGCAGAATGAGTTCTAGAACAGTATTTGAGAAATGTTGTGGCTCATGGCCAGTGAAACAACCATTATATATACATATCAGCTTGTTGATGGAAAATGATATTCCATTCTCTCCTGGTAGACAGCAGTTAATGTGAATGAATACGCTATTCAGAGAGCTGCTATGGTAAGGATGTTATTGAACTGGCTCATCATGGCTGTTTGCCAGAGTTGCAGTTAACCAAAATTGTTATTTTGGTAATGAAAGGTGATTTTATAAAGATATGTAGACAATCTCTTTAAGCTTGATTTAATTTCAACTAAGTATCAAAGGAGGGGTTTAATTTTGATTTCTATAATGCTAAATGAACCTTTAATGTAAATTTTTCTGGTTCCTTAATATAGGCATGTAAAACTGTAAATAATTTTTAATTTTAAGAATTAAGCAAACGCACTGATGATAACTTGCTGTATATAAAAAATAAAAAAGACAGCATTTCTGTTTTCCTTATTGTTTAAATATTAATTTAATCATATTGATGTCCCATTTTTTTATATTTGAGTAAAGTATTATGACACCTGCCTGCATTATTATATTCTGCGGTACTGGACAGTAATTTATTGATAACGGTCCTTTTTTTGAGTGCACATTTAGCCCCTCTGATAACAGGGCAGAAAGAACCACCAGGTGCTCACTTTATCCATCTCCATTTAGGCAGTTCGAGTACTATAATGCACATGGCGATGTCATCTAAAAATGTGTCATTATCCTCTCTGGCTTTGGTACATCTCAATGATCTCTGCATTTCCCACCTATCTAAACTTTGTTAGGTGTGCATGACCATATTAGACAAGATCTTTCCTACAGAAATCACCATGGGGTAAGACGATGTGGGCCGTGTAATCTATTTTGTTTGCTTGGCTAATTTAGGCAGTGCAATCAAGCTTACTAAGTGGCTATGTGCCATTCAATTATATTTATTTATTAAAATTTTCTAGAGGGCAGAGCCGAACTGAATGGCTGCACATAGCCAGAGCTCTCAACAACTACACTGTATGAACCCCTTGAGAGACCCTAAAATAGGGACAAAAATGGCATGGAAAACACCCATGAGCGAGTGGAAACAATGGGACACAAAACTAAGAAAATTAAACCTGTAAAGCCACGGCTGGGCTTAAATAACAAAGATCTGCGGCAGGCACATGGCTCGACTACCAGGAGATCTACTCTGAAATCTCCGATGACATGTCCCCAGACAAGGTGGGACAAGACTACTGCAATGCTAAAACTGCTTCTGGCAGACCTCCAGAAGAGTATCCAGACGGATGTAGCATTACCCTGTGCAGATTTGCAGGGCCTAAAGCAGTCAAGAGGCTCCAACAGCAAAGCGAGCTGAGTTACCGCCGCTTCACTGCCATTGAAGACTGGAGGCGGAAAAACTTCAAAATAAGGGACATTTCGGAAGAGGTATCGATGGCTGAAATCCCACATTTCCTGAGGCGCTTATTGGTAGCTTTACTTACCCCAAGACAGGGCAAAACGGTGGGAATTGATGGATTCTTCGGAGTACCGAAGTCCCCACATGCCCCAGACAATGTGCCAAGAGACTTGGTCCTCCAGGTGCAAAGTGGTAAAGATAAAGCAGCGGTGCTGGTGGCTGTCAGAGACCACACGCCATTTTGTTTGAAGACATGTCTCTCATGTTTTCTTCTCAGATCTGTCAGGGAGCACCGTAGCCTGGCAGAGATCACTCAAGCCACTTACCATCCTACTGAGACAGCTGAAGATAACGTACCAGTGGTGACTAACCCGCGCCCTAATGATCCAACAGGGTGAGACCAAGCACCTGATCCACAACCTCTCAGAAGCAGCAGCTTTACTGCCCACACTCCACGTACCTCCAAACACCCTGACAACTCCAGCGGACGGGACACCAACCAGGAAGCGGCACCAGTAGAATCCATACTCTACAATCCCTTTCACCACTCGCCGGATGACTATGGGATGATATGCAGCGGCCACTACCTGAAGGACAGTAGGACTAACAACCATCACCTAATGAAGCCTTACAGCACTCTTTAGAACTGTAGGCTTAATTTAAAGTTTGCCGTTAGGGTTTAGCTAACTTAGTTTTTTTGTATTATTCAGCGCACCCCAAGAGTGAGTCCCAACATAATCAGCCCACATTCAGATCGACTGACCAATTGAGCCGACCATACCACCCTCCCCCCACACCTTCAGGTGACCATGAGAGCTCAGTATTCATACCTATATAACGCTCAAGGCATCACATAAGTGAGTACAACTGTACCCCAGCACAGTAGCAGCTTTGCTTAGCTCTGAAATAGGACACGAAACTCAAACACAATTTAAGAGGTCAAGACCTTGACATGTTAGAGGTACTCAATGAGTACACAGAGGTACATACCATAATGAGATCTCGCCAACTCACATAATTAGATACGCATGATATCTCATCTGACTAATGCTACGTAAAATATAAAAATGTGCGGTTTCTGAATGCCATGTTGATAACTTTTCATTAATGTTTTTACTCTGTTTAGTATAGCTATTGTGGCATACCAAGCCTGTTTGTTACCACTCGCACAATACAAATATATATATATATATATATTTTTTTTTAAATGTATATTTCTAAAGCAGCAAAGCACTGTAGAAGTACTTCAGGCATTTGTAATCTTGCTTTAAAGCAGCAAGATTAATGAATAAAGGCAATTGCGTACAAGAAACTAAGACATTATAAGGGGAAAAGAATGCAGTGATTATTGATAGTGTTATGGCATTACATATGCTTTACTCAAAATGGGACACAAACATGACATTATTATAACCTTAAATTGGCTCAATTCTCTCAAGATTCTCTGTTAAAGCACAAAGTAAAAAAAAAGTACAATTTGTATATAAAAATCTGAGTTCTTGTTTCTTGGAGTAGCAGGGAGTGAAGGACACACAATATGCCCAGTTTTGTGCAAATAAGGTTCAGGACTGCAATGAGAATAGTGAAAATTAACTTATGCTTCAACTTTGTAATGCCTGTAGAACATGTAAACATTAAAAGCACATCATTCTTTGGGGATTGGGGTAAGAGCATGACTGAGGCTGTCACCAGGATCCAATGGTAGACCAAAACTGAACTAGTTAAGGACAGCTCCACGTTATATGTAGTTGCCTTTTATTCCTGTATCAAATCTCCAGAAATGCATTTTGCCTGTTTATTGATTTGAAAAAAGCCCATAAATGGGTGAAACACCTTTCAAGGGACTTCAGGACTGCAATTTATATTTATTACTTTTGATTGTTTCTATTTGTTGTTTTTACATTTATTTCAAATGTTAATTTGATCGGTTGTGACTGCTGGCCTATATTCCCGAACCTGGTTTGGATCAAAAAAAGGTTTTGCCACTCCATATTTGGCAATTTATTGACACACTTGGAGCCAATCTTTTATAAACTTCAGGTAAAGGTGACTATACTAACTGGTTTTATTACTCTCACATACTTTACTTTGAGGTATTGTACTAGATTGTTCTTTTTACCTTGTATGTACTTCACTGGAAACAGGTTTTATTACCAGAAGAGATTCTGTTACCAAAACAGAGGAGTACAAGTTTAGAGCCAGGTCATTTAAAAGTCTAATTTTATTGTGAGCATAATGTGACTTATTTGAGTTAAAGGACCACTATAGGCACCCAGACCACTTCGGCTCAATTAAGTGGTCTGGGTGCCTGGTCCAGCTAGTTTTAATCCTGCAGCTGAAAACATAGCAGTTTCAGAGAAACTGCTATGTTTACATTGAGGGTTAATCCAACCACTAGGGGCCGCTTCTGCGATTCTCACTGTGAAAATCCCATTGAACTTACGCTGGACGTCCATAGGAAAACATTAAGTAATGCTTTCCTAGGGGCGGTTTGAATGCGCGCGTGCGCCTCTGGGCGCACATCTGCATTCGGCTCCACTCTGGAGCTGACGTCGGCAGGGGAAGGAGAGGTCACCGGCGCTGTATTAAGGCAAGTGGTTGAAAAGGTTTTAGGGGGGACCTTATAACCCTATACTGCCAGGAAAACGAGTTAGTTTTCCTTGCACTATAGTGTTCCTTTTACGTATACATACAATATTGCACTCTTGTGTTTTTTCATAGAAACATAGAATGTGACGGCAGATAAGAACCATTCGGCCCATCTAGTCTGCCCAATTTTCTAAATACTTTCATTAGTCCCTGGCCTTATCTTATAGTTAGGATAGCCTTATGCCTATCCCACGCATGCTTAAACTCCTTTACTGTGTTAACCTCTACCACTTCAGCTGGAGGCTATTCCATGCATCCACTACCCTCTCAGTAAAGTAATACTTCCTGATATTATTTTTAAACCTTTGTCCCTCTAATTTAAGACTATGTCCTCTTGTTGTGGTAGTTTTTCTTCTTTTAAATATAGTCTCCTCCTTTACTGTGTTGATTCCCTTTATATATTTAAATGTTTCTATCATATCCCCCCTGTCTCGTCTTTCCTCCAAGCTATACATGTTAAGATCCTTTAACCTTTCCTGGTAAGTTTTATCCCGCAATCCATGAACCAGTTTAGTAGCCCTTCTCTGAACCCTCTCTAAGGTATCAATATCCTTCTGAAGATACGGTCTCCAGTACTGTGTACAATACAACAAGTGAGGTCTCACCAGTGTTCTGTACAATGGCATGAGCACTTTCCTCTTTCTACTGCTAATACCTCTCCCTATACAAGCAAGCATTATGCTAGCATTTACTGCTGCTCTATTACATTGTCTGCCTACCTTTAAGTCATCAGAAATGATCACCCCTAAATCCCTTTCCTCATATGTTGAGGTTAGGACTCTATCAAATATTTTGTACTCTGCCCTTGGGTTTTTACGTCCAAGATGCATTATCTTGCACTTATCCACATTAAATGTCAGTTGCCACAATTCTGACCATTTTTCTAGTTTACCTAAATCATTTGTCATTTGGCTTATCCCTCCTGGAACATCAACCCTGTTACATATCTTAGTATCATCAGCAAAAAGACATACCTTACCATCAAGACCTTCTGCAATATCACTAATAAAAATATTAAAGAGAATGGGCCCAAGTACAGATCCCTGAGGTACCCCACTGGTGACAAGTCCAAGCTTTGAATATATTCCATTAACTACAGCCCTCTGTTGCCTGTCACTCAGCCACTGCCTTACCATTTAACAATATTGGAATCCAAACTTAAAGATTGCAGTTTATTGATAAGCCTTCTACGTGCAACAGTGTCAAAAGCCTTACTGAAATCTAGGTAAGCAATGTCTACTGCACCACCCTGATCTATAATTTTAGTTACCCAATCAAACAAATCAATAAGATTAGTTTGGCATGATCTCCCTGAAGTAAACCCATGTTGTCTCTGATCTTGAAATCCATGTGTTTTTAGATGTTCAACAATCCTATCCTTTAACATGGTTTCCATGACTTTCCCCACTACTGAAGTAAGGCTTACTGGCCTATAGTTGCCCGACTCCTCCCTTCTACCTTTCTTGTGAATGGGCACAACATTCGCTAACTTCCAATCTTCTGGGACTACTCCTGTTAATGATTGGTTAAATAAATCTGTTAATGGTTTTGCTAGTACACCACTAAGCTCTTTTAATAGCTTTGGGTGTATTCCATCAGGTCCCATTGACTTATTTGTCTTTACTAGTGATGTCGCGAACCCGGAATTTTCGGTTCGCGAACACAAATGTTCGCGAACCGCCGAACCGCCATAGACTTCAATGGGCAGGGACTCTTTCTGGCCACAATAGTGATGGAAAAGTTGTTTCAAGGGGACTAACACCTGGACTGTGGCATGCCGGAGGGGGATCCATGGCAAAACTCCCATGGAAAATTACAGTTGATGCAGAGTCTGCTCTTAATCCATAAAGGGCATAAATCACCTAACATTCCTAAATCACAATGGATATGGATTGACACCTGACATATGACATATTGACACCTTGACATATGGATTGACACCTGTCCTCAGAGCCCCTGATACACACTGACACAGAGCAGAATAGAGACTGTTCCTCCTACATAGGGTCACTTGGCAGATATGGATTGACACCTGTCCTCAGAGATCATGATACACACTGACACAGAGCAGAATAGAGACTGTTCTCTATTCTGCTCTGTGTCAGTGTGTATCATGATCTCTGACAACTCAGCAAAGGAAGCAGCAGCGGGTACAACATCATCATCATCACACCGTACATGTGTAATGCTGCCTGATTGAGACATATCCCTGTTATCTACATCCTCTGTCAATAATGGTTGCGCATCACTCATTTCTTCAAGCGGATGTGTAAATAACTCCTCTGGCATACCAAGTGAAGCGGCTGTGGTGCTAGTGTTGGTGGTGGCGGCAGGCGGGTGAGTGGTATCTTGAGAGGTACCCGAAGCTAAGCTGGAGGAGGATGTTGCATCAAGGTTCCGAGCGGAAGCTGTAGAAGATTGGGTGTCCTGTGTTAGCCAGTCAACTATGTCCTCAGAACTTTTCAAGTTCAGGGTACCTGGCCTCTGAAAACTGGGCATTATTCTAGGGCAAAAGGGAATCACAGCACCACGACCACGACGGCCCCTGCGGGGTGGCCTGCCTCTGCCTGTCATTTTTTTTCGATTAGTGGTACTATGCGTGCAAGCTACTGTGACACCAGATATGAGTGGCACTGTGAACTGGCAGAGGTTGGCAGAGTACACGCTGTAGGGCTGACACACCCGCTTTGAGACAACTAACTGCTATTCAATCTATAACAGTGAAAAAAGTTTTTTGGTTTTTAAATGCAAGCTATTGTGACACCAGTGAGTGAGTGGTGGCACTGGGCACAGTATCCACTGTGAGCCTGACACAGACGCTGGCAGACAACTAACTGCTATTCAATCTATAACAGTGAAAAAAGTTTTTTGGTTTTTAAATGCACGCTATTGTGACACCAGATATGAGTGGCACTGTGAACTGGCACAGTATCCACTGTAGGGCTGACACACCAGCTTTGAGACAACTAACTGCTATTCAATCTATAACAGTGAAAAAAGTTTTTGTTTTTAAATGCAAGCTATTG